CCGCGTGCGCGCGGCCGAGCACGCATGCATGTGGTCCGCCGGCTCGAGGGGCGGGCCGAGCCGATGGCGCAGCCTGCCGAGTCAGGGTGGCCGACCGCAGCTCGCTCGGCCGAGAACAGGTTGTGTTGCGCATTTCTCGACGGGCCGACGTATCGACCTGTACACGCGGCGGCGGGGCTAGCAAGACAGCGCTTGGTGCCCTGATCGGCTGGCCCTCCTGCTTGTAAACTGGCCGGTTTGGTTTATTCAAGGCAGGGGGGTAAGGGAGGAAGCTGCTCTCACTCCCTCGCTGCCCCCTGAACCTGCCCCTGAGTCCTAGGAGCTCACGCACCCTGCTCTGGCATCGCTTACTCGACCACCCGCAATGCGCGCAACACCTGACGCCCAGCTACCGCAAGCAGCGGCCCACAGTCTTGCCTTCTTCTTGCAAACGCCCTACCTCTTCATTTGCAGAAATCTGATGCGAACGACCAGCTGGCTGTGACCTACACTGTCGTCGCCGCCACCGTGCCTGGCACCAACACGACCGACACAGGCACCAACACCACCAACCCAGGCACCAACACGACCAACCCCAGCACCAACACGACCAACCCCGGCACCAACACCACCAACCCCGGCACCAACACCACCAACCCCGGCACAAACACGACCAACCCCAGCACCAACACTACCGCCCCAACTCCGACGGCCAACCTCGTCGTATCTGGCCTCGCAATCGTCGCAATCACCCCTTACTTGGGACCGCCATTCGAACTGCTGGCGACAGACTCAGTGTTTGTGAACTTCAACATAACCAACAACGGCAGCGCCGCCTCGCCCGTGACCACTAAGGCGTTCTGGATCGAGAAAGCCACGGCACCCACCTGCAACGACGGGGGCACCGTCCTTCCAGTGGCCCCGCTCGCGCCGGGCGAGTCCAGGACCGAGAGTCTCTTTCAGAGGTTGCCCGGCGCTCCCGGCTTGTACACATTCCGGGTAATGGTGGACAACACGTGCACCGTGAACGAAGTTAGCGAGACCGATAACATCGCCTCCCTGCCCTACCTCATCTCCGCCACCATTGGACCAATTGCCAACCTGGCACTCACGTCGCTCGTTCTGAGCCCCAGCCCCTCATCAGGCGCCTTCACGCCCGGCCAGCTTGTGAACGTGACCGTCGGTGTCTTGAACAACGGCACCGCCCTGATTAACAGTGCCGTCGCTGCGTTCAGTGACAGTCCCGATGCGCCGCCTTGTAGGGAGCCGGGCAGGGCTGCTGTCGCTGCGTCAGCAGCTCTGCCCGGTGGTTCCAGCGCCAACATCACATTTGCTGTCCCGGTCTCCCTTTCGTTCGGAGCCAAGACACTCAGGCTGGTCCTGGATGCCGACTGCTTGGAGGTTGAGTCCACTAGGGCAGACAACTTTGCCAGTGTCTCGTACAATGTGGCAGGCCCCGACTTTGTTGTGAGCAACCTGCAGGTGATCTCATTAGGGGGTCCGGTGCTGCAGGTCGGCACTATCTTCTCGGTCAACGCGACCATCACAAACGTGAGCGGGGTGGCAGATGGCGTGTGTGCGCGCAAGCCAAGGATTAGCAGGGCAAAACCTCGTGTTTGCGCATTCGTGTGTGCGTGGGAGTGACGCTTGAGCTTGTGCATGCAAAGGAGGCTTCTGATAGAACCTTTCTATTGTACGTGGGACAAGGGCAGGCATTTGTGCCCGCAGGTTTGAGAAGTTCGCTCACAGAGTCGATGTGACACCGTTCAGGTGCATTGTTTGCAGTGTACACCACGATTCTCGAGAGGCCTCACCCTGACGAAAACCAATACAACAGCATTAGTGTCTGCAAGCTAGGCTGACGAGCGAACGCCCTCTCACCCTCATGCCGCCCTTCCGCGCAGGTCGGCACCGCGGCTGGCGACCCGGGCTTGTTTGGCGCCTTCACCACCATCTCCTCGCCTGCCGCGTGCGGCGACGCCCGGCTGAACAGCCCCCTGAGCAGCTACCCGTGGTCGGCTGGCTCGATCGCCCCTGGCGCCAGCGTGACGGCCCAATTCACTGGATTCAGGGCTGAGGCCGTCCCCGGCAAATATGTGTTGTGGTTTGTGGTGAACTACCTGGTGAGCACCGAATCTGGACGCGCTGATGCTTCTGCTGTCCCTCCTTACTTTGTGATGTCAATCGGGGTAGAGGGTTTTGGCTGCAGGAGTCATCATACATGCACATGCAGCCCAGGCGTACCCAGGCTGCGGCCAACTCCGGGTCACCTGTCCAGCTTTCATCAGGCATGCTAGCGCTGCTGCCTTGAGGGCCCTGCCCATGACCCGACAGCTGGTGATACAGGGCCGTCATCCTGCAGCACATGGCTGCGTGACCAACATCAGCCCCCGCACAGCGGCACTTGCTGCGCAACCCCCCTTGTTCACACACCCTTTGCTCAGCAACGGCCACCCCCTGTTGCCACATACTAAGTAGTGCATATAAAAGGCCATCAGGGGCATGGCCACGCGGTGCCACAGGTGCTGCGCCCTGCCCCCCCCCCTCCCCGACATCAGGTTGCACTCATGCATCCCGTGCACACTGCGTCTGTCCCAAGGTTCCACCCGCCCTGCCCCTGCTCTCGCAGTGCCAGCCCCAGGAGCCCAACTTTGTCGACAACCAGCTGAACTTCACGTACACCATCTAGGCACCCGCTGAGCTGCCCTGCTCTACCGCACGCCGTCCCCTGGCCACCGTGAGCACTGCCAACATTGCTGTCGGGCGTCGCCCGGCAGCGCCGCCCTAATTGAACAGTGCAGGGTGCCTGGGTCCCTGGCACCGACTCTGAGGGTATTGCTGCGTATCACTCGGTTCCATGGGGGTTATGGCTGCGTATCCCCCATGCGCTGTTGCGGCGTGACAGGGACACGGGCTGCAGACGTCAGATGGTGGCCGCCTGTCATAACCTCAGCATGCATGTCGGTACGACGCATCTTTGTGTCGGTGACGTATCGTATTCAAGTGCACCCCTGCTGCTTGGGCCTGCACGGCACGGTTGACGACGCTTTTGCGCTGTGCTTTGGTTTCGCACATGAATTGGGCGCGATAGCACCTGCCGCTACTTGCGTTGGGAACACAGATTGAATGCTTGCCGTGTGTACGTGTGTGTTTGCGTGTGTATTTGCGTGTGCGTGTGTGCGCGCGTCGCCAGGAAACGCAAGGAAGACGTGCGTGCGTGCCTGTGGGCACGGCCGCGTGTAGGCACAAGATGCGGTACGCGCGTGCGAAGGCCTCCTCATTTGCCAACGAGGGGCGGGCAGGCTGTGCCAGATGGAGGCGGCAAAATAACGCGACTGGAAAAACTCTGTGTGCATCTTGTAATCAATGCACCGCTGGGTCGCCGCAGCAGCACTGGACACTGACGGCCACACACTCAGCAGGCTGACCTGAGTGCAAGATCTGCATGCGATTACGGGGAGTGCACCGCATGGCTGGGATCTCATCTGCTCCAGAGTACAGAGGTGGTAACGTTTGAAAATACAGACGATGCATTTTATAGCAGTCAGGCTTCGCAGGGGCCCGTGGATGCGAGATTTTGCCGTTGATCTGTGGGAATCAGTAATATTGCGTGCCCCGTGGCAACGGCCACCTGCTTGTAGGGCGGATGTTGTAAATAGATCTTTGCGTATCACCTAGACACGGATCAGAGCTCTATCCCATACCGCAATAGTATCGCAATAATCAAATCATCTCGCCATGCCGATGCTATGTGACAGCGGGCCTGGTTAGACCCACAGATGTGCCTCGTGCTACTCCTTATACTGCATGGAGCTCTGGCATGGCCGGCGGCTGGCGCCCAGGCGCCGCCGATTCAGCAGTGCGCAGGCGCAGTGGCGCGCACAGACTGCACCTGGACGACCCCCCTGCCCCTGCTGGAGGGGGTCAGCGGCGCGAGGGCTGTTGGTGACGTCAGCGTGGTGACGCCGCCTGCGGTGTTAAAAGCGGGAGGCGGCGCCGGCGGCGCAGCGGCAGGTGGTTTCTCGTTTGGGGCAAGAGCGGGCGGCGCGGGGCGGGGCGGGGTGTGCCGGTGTGGGCGGCACTGCCTTGTGCGAGGCGTCCCTCTTGATCGCGTTGCTACGGTAATGCTCTTATGCGGCATGCATATCGTGTGTGGCAGCCTGTTGTATGTATGTATGCGTGCGCGTGTGCGGGCATGCGAGTGTGAGTGCGTCGGCGCATGAGCGTGCGCGTCTGCGTGCGCGTGCATGTGCGTGCGTATGCGTGTGGCTGTGTGTGCGCGCGTGCGTGCGTGGAAGGTACTCAATGGAGGAGCCCTGCCCGCCTTCCGTGCGCCCGGAGCGCGGCGCCCGCCGAAAACAGGGCATCGTGAGAGGCCCCCATCACGCTGTGCACCCCCCCCCTTCACCCCGGCCGGCGCCTCTTTCCCAACGGCCGCGGCGGCGCGAACGACCACTCACCGCACCCGCCG